TAGAGGACCTAATACTCCTGACGTTTAAGGTGTTAACGGAAAACATCAATCAGAGGTCACAAAATAAATCCTCATCATTTTCACGTATTCTCGTCAGACACCTCTAAATTCTCCAACTCCAGAGTGAACCCTGGGGTATGTCCACGCCTTGAGATAGTCCTGGTGTCAAAACATGGAGACATCGATCCGGATGCCTCCGATTCGGATTTATCTTCAATTTCTAATGTAGACTCCAACAAAGGTTTTGGAAAGCTACCCGAAAGAAGTGACTGGCTTTTCCTTTTCTTCTTCAAAACAGGCAGTTCACTACCAACTTCCTCTTCACCTGAAACCACCAGGAGCGATGGGCCAGCCACCTCAACCTCATCTATAAACTCACCACAGTCCATTAACTCGGCTGCAACGACTGCCTCTGCGGTTGCTTGCTTAGCGTGTCGTTTCGCCTGGTCTTCTGCCATCAGTTTTCGATGGATTTCTTCCACCTCTTCCTTAGATCTTACCTGGGTTCCAAATGTAGGAATGAAGGGAATCCTGATCTTTGAGGGTTGTTTTACCACCGTTTCCCCGGCGATCTCACTTGAGCCTGTTCCCTCACCAGCGTCTGCTCGAGGAGGGTCCTGCTGCCGGCTCGGGCAAAACCTCGCCATGTGACGTTCTGAGCCACACAGGTCGCATCTCTTCCTTTCTGAGCACTCCGCAGCAGTATGACCCTCCCCAAAACAGTTCCTGCAACATATTCCCTTCACACAGTCTTCACTAAGGTGGCCAAACTGAAAACAATTACGGCAGAACCTCGGTTGTCCGGGATAGAATAAATATCCCCGGTTACCGCCAATGGAAAAGTTCTGAGGTGGGTGTTTCAGCCCACCAACCCCTGATGGATCAGACCTTAAAGTAACAAAAAATTTCCTTTTACCATTAAACACCCCAAACATATTTACAAGACGAATAGGATTTCCCACCACCGAACAGTACCTATTCAAAAAAACCAAAATCTCCTCATCTGTTACAAAAGGGTTGTACATATGTACAACCACCGGAATCTTTGTAACAGGCACAAAGGGGTTAAAAGTCATGCCTTGCAATAATACATCACCCTCTTTCAAATTCTTCCTCTCCATGACGGTTGTAACATGGTCCTGTTCGGTAAAAGTGACGTCATAAACTCCACGGGTAGGGAAATCCTGTACACAGAATAACCACGCTCTCGGGATTTTCAGCAAGCCTTCCAAAACTTCTTTCTGAATCACGTGTAGTCCAACGCTTCTTCTCCTCTCCTCATCCACCAAAATTCTCAAAGATTTCGGATACGAGGGAGCTCCTCTCTCCATCTTTGAATCCCTTCCCGTTCCCAGTGAAAGCGCAGGTCGCCCCCCAATAGCAGCATCCAAGCCACGCCTCCACAAGGAAGACGCAGCTGGAAGGGCGAGGGGCTTGCGTTGCCAACACCGGGACCTCTTGACCAGACCAGTTTTTACACTTGATCTTAGCCAAAAGGCCGAGAAGCGATAACCGGAATGGGCGCCCAGCTACTCACCTGCCATTCGCCTGGGCTTCTTCAGCTTGCGGTGAGCCTTGGGCACAGTGCCACCCACCTCTTCCTCATCTAGGTGTAAGCTGGCTACAAATAGCAACAGAGACACAATCAGTCACAGAGCACACAACCTCTGAGCCCTGGAAACACAGCTCCCCTTCTTAACCTTGTCCATTCCTCTATATGCTCCCCTCCAGACATACCTTGCACCTCTCCCTCTCCAGCTGCTACCACTGATGAGCCTAACGAGGCTGCTGGATCACCTGGTCTGTTCCTCTTCAGCTGCAAGTAGGGTAGATAGAGCAAGCAATTAAGCACCTGCTGGTTTGCTCACTCACTCAATGATTCAATTAATTAAACCCTTAATTGGTTACTTGGATGTTGCTCCGATTTCCCTCCAAAACATTAGTGCTGTAATTTCAAAGACCAGCATGCTGCAGGCTGCAGAAGATTTGCATAATACCGCCCACTTTTCAACACTGATAATGCAGCCAGCCAGCCAGCCAGCCAGCCAGCATAGAAATACTCTGGCTTCCCAATGGATATACTTGGCACATTTATTTATTCAATGAAGTGATTACACAGATTTACAGGACAACAATGAATACATTGCATCAGGTGAACAGACTTGAATGTTGCACACACAGCACATGATAGATAATAACAAATCGGACAAGCTATCCAAATGAAATAACAGTTACCAAACATTGCTACAAGTGTCCATAATTGCAAGGAATGCTTTTGGTCGCTCGGTCGGTCGGTCCGGGCTTCATTCAGGCATGCCGCAGACAGGGGGAGGCAGAGATCGCACTTACGGCAGAGAAAGAAAGCAGGAAAGGAGAACGCGTTTGCCTTCGTTTGCAGGTTTCCTGCATTTCTTTGCCACCCACCAAGTGAGAGTCCAGAGGCTTGCTTTTTCTTTTTCAATTCTATTTTTGTAACCAGCATAAGAGAGGTGCACCGGTCCTGGAGGTACTGCAATACCAGGTCAATGCGTGGAGTGGACAGAGCAAGCTCTTCTTCCATCTCCCTGTCCCAAAAATCCATTTAATATATGGTCCCCAGATAGGGGACGTATCAGATATTAAACTGATAAGAACAGATTTTTTTTTTTTTTTTTGAATCACTCAGCCACAGAGCATTTCCTCCAGACGACATTCAAGGAATCTCTCCAGTAACATCCTCATGATTCTTTTCAATAAAAATTTTTTTTTTTATAATATTAAATTCACAGCAATAACACAGCAAACCCCTCCACCTTCCCCAAAACCACAGCAAACCACCCACCAAAAGAAACTCACTGCAAACTTTAAATCCTATACGCATTCATTCTTCCACTCATACTTACCCCCATTTTTTTTTTTTTTTTTTTTTCCAAACAAAAATTACAGTATTTACACAATAATTTCAACAATACCCCAAACGCCACACAACCCACCACCCAATATCACCAATACCCACCAAATCGTCTTTTTTAACCCATTAAGAACTTTCTTCTTCCCCTAAACAGAAACACAAAACAAAGTGAGTTTTATCCAAAAAATAACCCCCAATTTTTCCACATAAAAAGATGAAAAATACCCTCCACCGAGGTCGTTCTACGCACACCACTTTTTCCACTTCTTTGTCTTCCATACTCCCTCTGCATCCAATTCACCATTTTTTCGTACATCATTCAAATAATACAAAAACACTTTTCCTCTAACCATTCTCACACATGCATCTATGGACAGACATTCTTTTTTAAAAATAATCAAGTTTCTCACATCCCATACAGTTTCTTTTATACATGCCATCAAGATCCACAATACTCTCTCTTTCACTCTATCTACTTTACACATACCAAACAACAGAACCTCAAATGAAAACACAGGTATACCAGTCAACCCCACAACCAATTTTAATAATTTTTTCATCAGCTCTCTCACAAATTCACAATTCCAGAACACATGTACCACATTCTCTCTTCCTCCACATCCATCCCTTGGACACATCTCAGACCTACCTATTCTCCTCCCATACTGAAATTCTCTCGTAGCCAAACAATTGTGCACTGCCATCCATGCAACATCTCGCTGTCTATTCAGAATTTCAATCGTATCTAACTTCTTCCATACTTCACTACTCTGTAATTCATTCAAACCATCAATATTCACCACATTCTCCTTATCATTTAACATTCTAAAAACCTTTCTCTTCTCACACCATTCCTCAATTGTAACATTCTGCAATTCATACTTTTTAATGCACACTTCAATCTTCCTGTAAAACCATGGAACGTTAAAACATACCGGTTTTGTTCTATCAATCACATACAGATCAAACTTTCTCAAACTCATCCCAGCCGCATACTTCAACATACATGCTACCATGCTTTCTTTCTGACATATTCTAATACACATTCTCACATAATGAATCAATAAAAAATTTTCAATATCCGGGACATTCATACCACCATTTTTACGTTTCCTCATCACCTTTTCTCTGCTCAAACGCTCCATTCTACTGCTCCAGAAAAATAAAAATATAATTCTAATCAACTTTCTCAAATTCTTGTTATTAGGGGGAAAAATGAAACTTAAATATAACATAATAGGAATTAAAATTGATTTAATGATTAAAACTTTACCTTCAAATGACAATACCCTTTCACTCCATAATCCTATTTTTTGATTAACTCTGTTCACCACTTTCTTCCAACTTTCTTTCCCTTTCAACTCTATATCAAAATTAACCCCTAGCACTTGAATTCCATTCTCTACCACTGGCCATCCACTTAATTCCAATTCTCTCCAATCCCCAAAAGCCATACATGCACATTTATTCCAATTCACTCTAAAACCACTTGCCATACAAAAAATTTCTACTAACAATTTCACTCTCCTCAATCCTGCCTGAGTCCTACATACTACCGTCACATCATCCATGTAGCCAATTACTTTCATACTTTTTGTACTACTTCCCGGAATTTCAACTCCTTTCACCACTTTATCCTTCCTTATCATTCGTAACAAAGGTTCTATCACACATATAAAAAGTATCGGGGACAGAGGACACCCCTGTCTAACCCCAGAACACACTTTAAAACATTCAGTCATCCACCCATTTACTTGAACCACACTCACTATCCCATTGTACAAACATTTAATCCAATTTAGCATCTTTTCAGGTATTCCCATTCTTCCTAAAATTTCAAACATAAAATCATGTGCCACCCTATCATACGCCTTTTCAAAATCAATCGTTGCAATCGCTACTTCTTGCTTCCTCTCCTTGCAAAACCATAATACATCACGTAATCCAATCAAATGCTCCGCTATCTGTCTTCCAGGCACTGCACAGATTTGTTCTTCTCCCACCATCCCCTCAATCACATTTTTCAATCTATTTGCAATCACTTTCGCAACAATCTTATAATCTACATTCAACAAAGTTATCGGTCTCCAATTACTCAAATAATACTTATCACCTTTCTTGTACAACAACACAATCACCCCCTTCCTCATAGACTCTGTCATAATACCTTTATTCAAAACAAACTCACATACTTGTAAAAATTCATCCGCAATCACATCCCAATAAGTTCGATAAAATTCTACAGGCAACCCATCACATCCAGGTGTTTTATTTAACTTAAAATCCATCATGGTTTCAAACAACTCAACTTGATTCACATCTCTCACTAACCAATTCATATCTTCTTCTTTTATTCCGTTTTCCACACCACTCAATACCTCATTTTCTAATTTCCTATTTCTCTCTTTCTCTTCATACAATTTGGCATAAAATTCCTTCACTACATTCAACATTTCATTCATATCTTCAATCACTACACCTTCTTCATTAACTACACCTTCCATACCTTTCTTTCCTTCATACACTTTCTTAAAAAAGAATCTAGAGCACTTCTCATCTTTTTCCAATACATTTAACTTAGCTGCAAATACAATTTTTTTCCCTCTTTCTTCCAAACATTTATTCCTACTTTCTCTCGCACTTTCTAAATCATCATCCACCTCCCATCCTAATTCTCTCAATTTACGCAAATACTCGATTCTTACTCTCCACTTATCCAACCATTCTCTCTCCTTTCTAGCTTTTTCCCATCCTTTCCTAGTAAAAAATAACTTTGTTTTTACTTTCACCCATTCCCACCACTCAATAACATCATCAAATTTACATTTACACTCCTTCCAGTACTTATATTTAACAATATATTCTTCTTTCACTTCCATATCCATTAACATACTCACATTCAATTTCCAAAAGCTTCTACCAAATTCCATTTTCAACTCCATTCTCACCTCACATTCCAACAGCACATGATCAGAAAAAATGACTTTTGATGTGCGCAGAACTTCCGCTACAACACCCTGTGAAAGAAAACAAAAATCAATACGTGATTTAATACTACCTTTATCACTAAAAAACGTAAAAGTGTCAACATTTCCCATAACCCCAACTGCATCATAAAGCCCAAAATCTTTAACTAAATTATTCAAAACCCGCCCTGACTTATCCAAATTATAACCAACTTCAGTTCCCACCCTATCCTCCCTTTTCAAAATACAATTAAAATCCCCTATCAAAATAGTTAATTCCCTCCCTGGCAATACCATACCCAAACATTCAAAAACATTCAACCTATCTTTTCTATCTACCGGTGCATATACATTTATTATCCTACAAACAGTGCCCCTATATAAAAAATGAACTACCAAAACCCTCCCCGACACTACTTCTAATACTTTTAAGATTTTAAATTCCCACCCTCTAAATAATACCGCAACTCCCATATTTTTCCCAACACCACATGAAAAAATAGATGGTCCCCACTCCCATTTAACATTGTTTGGTTTTTCTTCCAGACCGCATTCCTGCAAACACACAATATGACAAGTTAATTTTTGCAAAAAATTAAAAATAAATGCGCGTCTAGAAGTTCTCTTCAAACTTCTCACATTTAGTGAGGCAATACAAAACATGAATCAGAGGTGTATAACCTCATCATTTCACGTCCCACTGACTGACTCCAGCATTTCTTCAAGGTCCTGTGAGAACCCTGATATATCCACAAGTCGGGACACCGCCTGGGTGTCAAAGATCGGTGAAAAAGAGCCAGACGTTTCTGACCCTGCCCGATCCTCAACCTCAGAGGAAGACTCCCCCAGGCCCCTTGGAAAATCTCTTGATAATTTTAACTCTACCCCTTTCCTTTTTTTTCTCTTAGCACAAGGGGTCTTACCAACTGCTTCCTCCTCCGAAATATCAGACACAGGAATGCTGTGAGCCTCAGGGTCTGCTACAGTAGGGTCATTACTCTCCATTTCTTCAGTAACAACTTCTCCTCCAGATACTGTAGCTTTTTTAGCCTGATCCTCTGCCATTATTTGAGCATGTCGTGCTTCCACCTCTTCCTTAGATCTAAGCTGAGTACCGAAAGTAGGAATAAAAGGGATACGCACTTTAGAGACATCTTTTGCAATTTCACTTTTACTAGCAGGATCTGCCAAGCTTACCCCTTTATTTTCTTCACGAGCAGGTTCTTTGAACCTATCTGGGCAAAATCTTGCCAAATGAGTGTTTGCTCCACATAGGTCACACTTCCGCCGCTCTGCACATTCTGCAGCGGTATGACCTTCTGCAAAACAATTCCTGCAACACATATCTTTTTTACATTCTTCTTTAACGTGGCCAAACTGGAAGCAGTTTCTGCAATAACGTGGCTGACCAGGGTAGAACAGATACCCTCTATTTCCACCTATAGAAAAATTTTGTGGGGGGTGTTTCAGCCCACTTACCTCTGCTGAATCGGGTCTTAGTACCACGAAGAACTTACGTTTGCCATTGTATACTCCATACATATTCAGAAGTTTCAAAGGTTTCGACACCACTGAGCAATAGCGGTTAAGGAACGCCATAACCTCCTCATCAGAGACAAAAGGGTTATACATATGAACGCACAAGGGAATACGAGCCACAGGAACATAAGGGATAAAGGATATGCCCTCTAACAAGGGGTCGCCTTCTTTCTGCCTTTTCCGCTCCATCACCGTTACAACTTGCTCCTGCTCTTGGAAGGTGATATCATAGATACCACGAGCAGGGAAGTCCTGGACACAGAACAGCCAATCTCTGGGCACACAGAGTAAACCCTCAAGCACTTCTCGCTGTACAGTCTGCAAACCTGCGATTCGCCTCCTTTCTTCAGATAATACCAGCCGAACTGTCTGCGGGAACGAAGGTGCACTCCGCTCCATTCTGTATCACTTCTCGTTTCTGGTGTCAGTGCGGATCGCCCCCCAATAGCAGCATCCAGACCACGTCCCCACTAAGGGAACACAGTCTGGAAGGCCGAGGGGCTAGCGTTACCGATCCACCAGAACCTAATGCCCAGAACAGTTTACACTGATCTTAGCCAAAAGGCCGAGAAGCGATAACCGGAATGGGCGCCCAGCTACTAACCTGCCATTCGCCTGGGCTTCTTCAGCTTGCGGTGAGCCTTGGGCACAGTGCCACCCACCTCTTCCTCATCTAGGTGTAAGCTGGCTACAAATAGCAACAGAGACACAGTCAGTCACAGAGCACACAACCTCTGAGCCCTGGCAACACAGCTCCCCTTCTTAACCTTGTCCATTCCTCTATATGCTCCCCTCCAGACATACCTTGCACCTCTCCCTCTCCAGCTGCTACCACTGATGAGCCTAACGGGGCTGCTGGATCACCTGGTCTGTTCCTCTTCAGCTGCAAGTAGGGTAGATAGAGCAAGCAATTAAGCACCTGCTGGTTTGCTCACTCACTCAATGATTCAATTAATTAAACCCTTAATTGGTTACTTGGATGCTGCTCCGATTTCTCTCCAAAACATTAGTGCTGTAATTTCAAAGACCAGCATGCTGCAGGCTGCAGCAGATTTGCATAATACCGCCCACTTTTCAACACTGATAATGCAGCCAGCCAGCCAGCCAGCCAGCCAGCCAGCCAACCAGCCAGCCAGCATAGAAATACTCTGGCTTCCCAATGGATATACTTGGCACATTTATTTATTCAATGAAGTGATTACACAGATTTACAGGACAACAATGAATACATTGCATCAGGTGAACAGACTTGAATGTTGCACACACAGCACATGATGGATAATAACAAATCGGACAAGCTATCCAAATGAAATAACAGTTACCAAACATTGCTACAAGTGTCCATAATTGCAAGGAATGCTTTTGGTCGCTCGGTCGGTCGGTTCGGGCTTCATTCAGGCATGCCGCAGACAGGGGGAGGCAGAGATCGCACTTACGGCACGGCAGAGAAAGAAAGCAGGAAAGGAGAACGCGTTTGCCTTCGTTTGCAGGTTTCCTGCATTTCTTTGCCACCCACCAAGTGAGAGTCCAGAGGCTTGCTTTTTCTTTTTCAATTCTATTTTTGTAACCAGCATAAGAGAGGTGCACCGGTCCTGGAGGTACTGCAATACCAGGTCAATGCGTGGAGTGGACAGTGCAAGCTCTTCTTCCATCTCCCTGTCCCAAAAATCCATTTAATATATGGTCCCCAGATAGGGGACGTATCAGATATTAAACTGATAAGAACAGATACTACACTTGATCTTAGCCAAAAGGCCGAGAAGCGATAACCGGAATGGGCGCCCAGCTACTCACCTGCCATTCGCCTGGGCTTCTTCAGCTTGCGGTGAGCCTTGGGCACAGTGCCAACCACCTCTTCCTCATCTAGGTGTAAGCTGGCTACAAATAGCAACAGAGACACAGTCAGTCACAGAGCACACAACCTCTGAGCCCTGGAAACACAGCTCCCCTTCTTAACCTTGTCCATTCCTCTATATGCTCCCCTCCAGACATACCTTGCACCTCTCACTCTCCAGCTGCTACCACTGATGAGCCTGTCGAGGCTGCTGGATCACCAGGTCTGTTCCTCTTCAGCTGCAAGTAGGTTAGATAGAGCAAGCAAGTAAGCACCTGCTGGTTGCTCACTCACTCAATGATTCAATTAATTAAACCCTTAATTGGTTACTTGGATGCTGCTCGATTTCCCTCCAAACATTAGTGCTGTAATTTCAAAGACCAGCATGCTGCAGGCTGCAGCAGTGCATAATACCGCCCACTTTTCAGCACTGATAATGCAGCCAGCCAGCCAACCAGCCAGCCAGCCAGCCAACTGGCCAGCCAGCCAGCCAGCATAGAAATCTCTGGCTTCCCAGTGGATATACTTGGCACATTTATTTATTCAATGAAGTGATTACACACAGATTTACAGGACAACAATGAATACATTGCATCAGGTGAACAAGGGCTTAGATATTGCACACACAGCACATGATAGATAATAACAAATCGGACAAACTATCAAATGAAATAACAAGTTGCAAACATTGCTACAAGTGTCCATAATTGCAAGGAATGCTTTTGGTCGCTCGGTCGGTCGGTCGGTCGGTCGGTCCGAGCTTCATTCAGGCATGCCGCAGACAGGGGGAGGCAGAGATCGCACTTACGGCAGAGAAAGAAAGCAGGAAAGGAGAACGCGTTTGCCTTCGTTTGCAGGTTTCCTGCATTTCTTTACCACCCACCAAGTGAGAGTCCAGAGGCTTGCTTTTTCTTTTTCAATTCTATTTTTGTAACCAGCATAAGAGAGGTGCACCGGTCCTGGAGGTACTGCAATACCAGGTCAATGCGTGGAGTGGACAGAGCAAGCTCTTCTTCCATCTCCCTGTCCCAAAAATCCATTTAATATATGGTCCCAGATAGGGGACGTATCAGATATTAAACTGATAAGAACAGATACTACACTTGATCTTAGCCAAAAGGCCGAGAAGCGATAACCGGAATGGGCGCCCAGCTGCTCACCTGCCATTCGCCTGGGCTTCTTCAGCTTGCGGTGAGCCTTGGGCACAGTGCCACCCACCTCTTCCTCATCTAGGTGTAAGCTGGCTACAAATAGCAGCAGAGACACAGTCAGTCACAGAGCACACAACCTCTGAGCCCTGGAAACACAGCTCCCCTTCTTAACCTTGTCCATTCCTCTATATGCTCCCCTCAGACATACCTTGCCTCTCCCTCTCAGCTGCTACCACTGATGGGCAACGAGGGCTGCTGTGGATCACCTGGTCTGTTCCTCTTCAGCTGCAGAGTAGGGTAGATAGAGCAAGCAATTAAGCACCTGCTGGTTTGCTCACTCACTCAATGATTCAATTAATTAAACCCTTAATTGGTTACTTGGATGCTGCTCCGATTTCCCTCCAAAACATTAGTGCTGTAATTTCAAAGACCAGCATGCTGCGGGCTGCAGCAGATTTGCATAATACCGCCCACTTTTCAACACTGATAATGCAGCCAGCCAGCCAGCCAGCCAGCCAGCCAGCCAGCCAGCCAGCCAGCCAGCCAGCATAGAAATACTCCGGCTTCCCAATGGATATACTTGGCACATTTATTTATTCAATGAAGTGATTACACAGATTTACAGGACAACAATGAATACATTTGCATCAGGTGAACAGACTTGAATGTTGCACACACAGCACATGATAGATAATAACAAATCGGACCGTATCAAATGAAATAACAGTTACCAAACATTGCTACAAGTGTCCACCATTGCAAGGAATGCTGCTTTTGATTACATTTCGGTCGGTCGGTCGGGCTTCATTCAAGGCATGCACGCGAACGGGGAGGCAGAGATCGCACTTACGGCAGAGAAGAAAGCGGGAAAGGAGAACGCGTTTGCCCTTCGTTTTGCAGGTTTCCTGCATTTTCTTTACCACCCACCAAGTGAGGTCAGAGCTTGCTTTTTCTTTTTCAATTCTATTTTATGCCAGCATAAGAGAGGTTACCGGTCCTGGAGGTACTGCAATACCAAGGTCAATGCGTGGAGTGGTTAGAGCAGCTCTTCTTCCATCTCCCTGTCCCAAAAATCCATTTAATATGGTCCCCAGATAGGGACATTATCAGATATTAAACTGATAAGAACAATTTTTTTTTTTTTTTTTTTTTTTTTTTTTTGAACCACTCAGTCACAGAGCATTTCCTCCAGATGACATTCAAGGAATCTCTCAAGTAACATCCTCATGATTCTTTTCAATAAAATATAATAATCACTGCACACAAAACACTACAAACCCCATCACCATCCCCACAAACCACAGCAAACCACCCACTACAAAAACACAGCAAATTTGAAATCCTATCACAATCATCCAGCCATTCTTACTTACCCCTTTTTTTTTTTTTTTTTTTTTTAATATATCAGAACACAAATTATATTTGCAATCAACAAACCAATAACTCCCTCCACCCACGCTTTACCTCAACCCATCACAAAGTATTCGAATTCAAAACAATATCTTCGATATTAATCCTATAAAGAAAACCATAGGTTTAATATGCACAAAACATTTCACAATTTCTCAAAAACCCAAATATACACCCAACATATTATAATATTTACATGAATTATAGCAAGTGCACTACCCAAAAACTCATCACCTACATAATTCCTACGTACACCATTTCTTCCATTTCTTTGTCTTCCACACTCCCTCAGCATCCATTTCACCTTTCTTCCTTACATCCTCCAAATAATACAAATAAATTTTACCTCTAATCATTCTTACACATGCTTTCACTGGCAAAACTTCCTTCCTAAAAATCAACAAATTCCTTACATCCCACATAGTTTCTTTTATACATGCCATAACAATCCACAACACACGTTCTTTTTCTTTCTCAATTTTACACATCCCAAATAACAACACTTCAAAAGTAAACACCGAAATTCCTGTTAAACCAACTACCAACTTTAATAATTTTTCCAATACTTGTCTCACAAACACACAATTCCAAAACACATGCACAACATTCTCTCTACACCCACACCCTTCTCTTGGACAAATTTCAGTACTACCTAAACATCTACCATACTGCACTTCCCTTGTAGCCAAACAATTATGCACCGCCATCCACACAATGTCCTTTTGTCTGTTTAAAATTTCTATACTAGCCAATCTCTTCCACACTTCTTTACTCATTTTCTCATTTAATCCATCTATCCCAATCACAGTCTCTTTCCTATTTAAAATATTAAAAACTTTCTTCCTTTCATTCCACTCTTCCCATGACACATTTTGTAATTCATACTTACTAATACATACATCAATCCTTTTATAAAACCAAGGTAGAACAAAACATACCGGTTTCCTCCTATCAATCTCATGCAACCCATACCTCCTTAAACTCATACCTGCTGCATATTTCAACATACACGCTACTACACTTTCTTTTCTACAAATCCTCACACACATCCTGACATAATGCACTAATAAAAATCTCTCTATATCTGGTACATCCATTCCTCCATTCACTCTTTTCTTAACAACTTTCACTCTACTCAATCTCTCCATTCTACTACTCCAAAAAAACAAAAAAACAATCCGCACTAACTTCCTCAAACTTCTATTATCAGGGGGGAAAACAAAACTCAAATATAGCATTATAGGAATCAAGACTGCTTTAATAATCAACACCTTACCAGTAAACGTCAAATTCCTTCCACTCCACAATCCAATCTTCTGATTCACTCGACTCACTACCTTATTCCAGCTTTCTTTTCCTCTTAAATCATCCTCAAAAAACACTCCCAACACTTCAATACCATTTTCTACTACCGGCCACCCACATAATTCCAACTCTCTCCAACCACCAAACGCTTTACATTTACATTTATTCCAGTTAACCTTAAAACCACTTACCATGCAAAAACATTCAACCAACAATTTTACCCTTCTTAATCCAGCTTGCGTTCTGCACAACACAGTAACATCATCCATATAGCCAATCACTTTCATACTTCTACCTCCACTTCCCGGAACTTCCACCCCTCTCACAATCTTATCATTCATAATACTACGTAACAAGGGTTCTATCACACATATAAAAAGTATAGGCGACAAGGGGCAACCCTGTCTAACCCCAGATCTTACTTTAAAACTTTCACTCATCCATCCATTCATTTGTACTACGCTTTCAATACCTCTGTACATACATGTTATCCAATTCAATAATTTCCCAGGCAATCCCATTTTCTCCAAAACTTTAAACAAAAACTCATGTGCTACCCTATCATACGCTTTCTCAAAGTCAATCGTTGCAATTGCTACTTCCATCTTTCTCTCCTTACAAAACCATAAAGCATCACGCACTCCAATTAGACTCTCTGCAATTTGTCTCCCCGGCACTGCACACACTTGCTCCTCACCTACCATACTTTCAATCACTCTCTTAATTCTATTTGCCACCAATTTCGCTATAATTTTATAATCAACATTCAATAATGTAATTGGTCTCCAATTACACAAATCATGCTTCTCACCTTTCTTAAAAATCAACACAATCACTCCTTTCTTCATTGATTCAGACAGACCTCCTACATTCAAAACAAAGTCACATACATCAAAAAAATCATCTGCAACCAACTCCCAAAACGTTCTATAAAATTCTACAGGTAACCCATCACATCCAGGAGTTTTATTCAATTTAAATCCTTTAACACTCTCATTCAATTCCATCTTTGTCACATCCCTCAACAGCCAACTATAATCATCTTCACTCACTCCATTCTTAATACATGCCAAAATTTCCATTTCCAAACTTACATCTCTCTCTTTCTCTGTATACAAATCCTTGTAAAAATTTCCAACCTCAATTAACATCTCCTCTTTCTTCCTTACAATAACCCCATTTATATTCATAATACCTTCCATTCCTTTCTTACCGTCAAAAGCCTTTTTAAAAAAATATCGCGAACACTTTTCATCCTTCTCCAAAACATTCAATTTAGCTGCAAACACTATCTTCCTACCCTTTTCATCCAAACCTTTCTTCCTCATTTCTCTTGCTTCTTCCAATTCACTTTCAACCTCCCAGCCCAAATCTCTCAATTTACACAAGTAATCAATCCGACTATTCCAATCATCCCAACATTTCCTCTCATTCCTAGCTTTTTCCATTCCTATTTTAACAAAAAATATTTTTATATTCTTCTTCATCCAATCCCACCATTCTAAAATCGTATTAAAATAGATTTTACATTTTTTCCAATACCCATACTTTCTACTAAATTCTTCACATACATCCTCATCCATTAACATACTCACATTCAATTTCCAGCAACCATTACCAAATTCTAATACACCATCCATTCTTACTTCGCACTCCAAAAGAGCATGGTCAGAGTATGGATTCTTTAGTGTACGTAGAAATTCTATGTAGACGCCCTTTGAAATAAAACAAAAATCAATACGTGATTTTACTGTACCCTTATCACTAAAAAAAGTAAACTTATCACTATCCCCTATTCCCTCCACCGCATCTACAAAACCAAAATCTTTAACTAAATTATTCAAAGCCTTTCCAGTAATATCTAACTTATACCCCTCCCCCACACCTATTCTATCTTCCCTACGAACAATACAATTAAAGTCTCCACAAAAAAATGATATTTCCCTCCCTGGCAAAACCATACCTAAGCACTCAAACACCTTCATTCGTTCATTTTTGTCTACCGGTGCATATACATTAATTAACTTACACTTAATGCCCCTATACCTAAAATAAATCAATAAAACCCTCCCAGACACAACTTCTACTACCCTTGTAATTTGAAACTCCCATCCCCTAAACAATACAGCCACCCCAATATTTTTCCCCACACCAAAAGAATAAATAGAAGGACCCAACCCCCACTCATTATTTACAGGTCTATCCGTTAGATTACATTCCTGTAAGCATATCAGATTAAATTTTAAACTGCAAAGAAAGTCAAAAACTGCAGCTCTTCTGATAGCCGATTTTATACTCCTCACATTCAGTGAAGCAATTTGAAACATTTAATCAGAGGTTTCAACCTCATCACATCACGTCCCTTCCTCTGAGTCACTTTTCATCTCAGGGTCCCGAACAAACCCTGATACATCAAACAGCCTAGATACAGCTTGTAAATCAAAGACAGGGGATGAACAACCAGAAGTCTCGGACTCCGATCGATCTCCCTGATCTGAAGATGAATCTACCAGTATTTTTGGGAATTCCCTCGACAGCTGCTCTTCTCCTTTCCTTTTCATCCTTTTTGACAAGGGTAAGTCACCACCCTCAACTTCAGTAGAAGTGCTTGCAGTAACACTATCTGTTTTCACTATATCCTCTAACCCATCACCACATTCCATTTGTGCCACCTCACTATTAGCTTCTTTCTCTTTTTTCTTTTCAGCAACCTCCATTATCTTAGCATGTCGTTCGGCATGTTCCTCTACAGAGCGCAGTTGAGTGCCATAAGTAGGGATAAACTGTATTCTAGTCTTCGAAACTGTTTTCAGGCCTACATCTTTAACGACAGTTTCAGACCTTGTAGACTCTCCTTCTGCCTCTGACCATGGACCACCTAGCGACAGGCTGGTACAAAACCTGGCCATATGGCTCACAGATCCACATAGATCACACTTACGCCTCTCAGCACATTCAAAAGCTGTGTGACCCTCCCCATAACAATTTCTACAGCACAGCCCCTTAGAACAGTTAGCACTCACGTGCCCAAATTGGAAACAATTCCTGCAATAGCTGGGTTGTCCTGGATAAAATAAATAGCCTCTATTACCTCCAATGGAGAAATTTTGTGGGGGATGTTTCAGGCCACTCACCTCCGTCTCGTCCTTTTTCAATACCACAAAGAATTTTCTTTTCCCGTTATAAACCCCGAATTGATTGACCAGCTTTACCGGCTTAGAGACTTGCAAACAATACCTGCTCAAAAAAATAGAAATCTCCTCATCGCCAACAAAAGGGTTAAACATGTGTACCACTAAAGGAAATCGGGACACAGGAACAAATGGTATGAAAGAAATACCTCGAAGCAGTTTCTCTCCTTCTTTCTCTTTTTTCCTTTCCATTACAGTGGTCACAAAATCTTGCTCCATGAAAGTAATATCATACATACCCCGAGTCTGGAAGTCCTGAACACAAAACAACCATTCCCGGGGTACTCGCAGCAAACCTTCCAGAATATCTTTTTGGATAACGTATAAACCCACCTCCGTCCGCCTCTCCTCAGCAACCAACAGCCGCACTGTTTTCGGATACGATGGTCCGCCACGCTCCATCGTCGATCACTCCCCGTTTCCCGTGGTGGCTCAGGTTGCCCCCCAATAGCAGCAGCCGGACTGTGTCCTCCAAGGAAGACACAGCCGGAAGGCCGAGGGGCTTGCGTCACCAACCACAGGAACCTTCTGGCAAGACAAGACTAAACTTGATCTTAGCCAAAAGGCCGAGAAGCGATAACCGGAATGGGCGCCCAGCTACTCACCTGCCATTCGCCTGGGCTTCTTCAGCTTGCGGTGAGCCTTGGGCACAGTGCCACCCACCTCTTCCTCATCTAGGTGTAAGCTGGCTACAAATAGCAACAGAGACACAGTCAGTCACAGAGCACACAACCTCTGAGCCCTGGAAACACAGCTCCCCTTCTTAACCTTGTCCATTCCTCTATATGCTCCCCTCCAGACATACCTTGCACCTCTCCCTCTCCAGCTGCTACCACTGATGAGCCTAACGAGGCTGCTGGATCACCTAGTCTGTTCCTCTTCAGCTGCAAGTAGGGTAGATAGAGCAAGCAATTAAGCACCTGCTGGTTTGCTCACTCACTCAATGATTCAATTAATTAAACCCTTAATTGGTTACTTGGATGCTGCTCCGATTTCCCTCCAAAACATTAGTGCTGTAATTTCAAAGACCAGCATGCTGCAGGCTGCAGCAGATTTGCATAATACCGCCCACTTTTCAGCACTGATAATGCAGCCAGCCAGCCAGCCAGCCAGCCAGCCAGCCAGCCAGCCAGCCAGCATAGAAATACTCTGGCTTCCCAATGGATATACTTGGCACATTTATTTATTCAATGAAGTGATTACATAGATTTACAGGACAACAATGAATACATTGCATCAGGTGAACAGACTTGAATGTTGCACACACAGCACATGATAGATAATAACAAATCGGACAAGCTATCCAAATGAAATAACGGTTACCAAACATTGCTACAAGTGTCCATAATTGCAAGGAATGCTTTTGGTCGCTCGGTCGGTCGGTCCGGGCTTCATTCAGGCATGCCGCAGACAGGGGGAGGCAGAGATCGCACTTACGGCAGAGAAAGAAAGCAGGAAAGGAGAACGCGTTTGCCTTCGTTTGCAGGTTTCCTGCATTTCTTTGCCACCCACCAAGTGAGAGTCCAGAGGCTTGCTTTTTCAATTCTATTTTTGTAACCAGCATAAGAGAGGTGCACCGGTCCTGGAGGTACTGCAATACCAGGTCAATGCGTGGAGTGGACAGAGCAAGCTCTTCTTCCATCTCTCTGTCCCAAAAATCCATTTAATATATGGTCCCCAGATAGGGGACGTATCAGATATTAAACTGATAAGAACAGATTTTTTTTTTTTTTTTGAACCACTCAGTCACAGAGCATTTCCTCCAGATGACATTCAAGGAATCTCTCAGGTAACATCCTCATGATTCTTATCAATAAAATATAATAATAATCACAGCACACAAAACACTACAATCCCCATCACCATCCCCACAAAACCACAGCAAACCACCCACTACAAAAACCCAGCAAATTTGAAATCCTATCACAATCATCCAACCATTCATACTTACCCCATTTTTTTTTTTTGTATATATCAGAACACAAACTGTATTTGCAATCCACAAACCAATAACGCCCTCCACCCACGCTTTACCTCAACCCATCATAAAGAATTTGATTTCAAAACAATATCTTCGATATTTATCCTATAAAGAAAACCATAAGTTTTAATATGCAAAAAACATTTCACAATTTCTCAAAAACCCAAATATACACCCAATATATTATAATCTTTACATGAATTTTAGCAAGTGCACTACACAAAAACCCATCACCTACATAATTCCTGCGTACACCATTTCTTCCATTTTTTTGTCTTCCACACTCCCTCGGCATCCATTTCACCTTTCTTCCTTACATCCTCCAAATAATACAAATACATTTTACCTCTAATCATTCTTACACATGCTTTCACTGACAAAACTTCCTTCCTAAAAAAACAACAAATTCCTTACATCCCACATAGTTTCTTTTATACATGCCATAACACACGTTCTTTTTCTTTCTCAATTTTACACATCCCAAACAATAACACTTCAAAAGTAAACACTGAAATTCCAGTTAAGTCAACTACCAACTTTAATAATTTTTCCAAAACTTGTCTCACAAACACACAATTCCAAAACACATGCACAACATTCTCTCTACACCCACACCCTTCTCTCAGACAAATTTCAGTTCTACCTACACATCTACCATACTGCACTTCCCTTGTAGCCAAACAATTATGCACAGCCATCCATGCAATGTCCTTCTGTCTGTTTAAGATTTCTATACTAACCAATCTCTTCCACACATCTTTACTTATTTTCTCATTTAATCCATCTACCCCAATCAGTCTCTTTCCCATTTAAAATGTAAAAAAACTTTCTTCCTTTCATTCCACTCCTCCCATGACACATTTTGTAATTCATACATCAATCTTTTTCCAAGGTAAAACAAAACATACCAGTTTCCTCCTATCAACCACATGCAACCCATATCTCCTCAAACTCATACCTGCTGCATATTTCAACATACACGCTACTACACTTTCTTTTCTACAAATCCTCACACACATCCTGACATAATGCACTAATAAAAATCTCTCTATATCTGGTACATCCATTCCT